CGAATCGGCGATAATTTTCCTACCGCTTCCCTTTATCCTCCTTCCAAAGATGTTATCTTAAATGTCGCAATTCGAGGATACGATTCACGTTGGATGGATTTGAGCAGATATTTAACACGTTGACTGCCGCGTGCGTTTCTAACGAAATCTCCTTCAGGTCACGCGCGCCGCTGTATCAAGTGTATTTTAATACTTCTACCGATATTTTAGTAATGCGAGTCTGATGGTTTCTTTGGTTTCATTTGTTTCCATCATTACTGTTAGAAGTATTGATAATAGTAATTGTATCGATAATAATATTGAATAGTAGTACTGATTTATATATTTTGGATATTTTAATTTGGATAATTTGGATTATAATTTGGATAATATAATGTCCTTTGACTAATCGTAACAAATGTATTTTTTAATTGTGGATTGTCTATTAGAGACAAGGGTCTCTCGCAATGTCACAACAGGTGATCGTGTCCGATGGTCAGAGCACGATACGTTCATAAACTATCTAATTATCGTATCGCCGTGAGACTCGTGATAGAAGATTTAGAGAATTATTAACTGCAAAATTGTTAGGATTATCTGAAAATACAACAAAACCTTGTCAAAACTTTCAACGAAGTCAACATAATATTGCCTTTTGGAAAAATAATTCTGATGTAAGTATTAGACTAGTATTATAGTATTATAAGTATTAGAAGTATTAGAAGTATGCAAATTATGTTATTCGGATAAAAGACGACAAATGGATCAAACGCACGAAGGAATTTAAAAAAGACAACAACTTGTTGTCCAAATCCGGATCAACCTCAGCCTTGTATAGAATGTTTTAAAATTTTACATTCAAAATAATTTTTAAAAATTAAAAATTAAAATTAAAATTAAATTTTTAAAAATTTTCAAAAATATTTTTTTAATAAATTAATTATTTTTTTATTATTTCTATAACAATTTAATAGTTTTATTACACCTTGCAGAATATCTTTTCAAATATCTACAAAGATCGTTCATAAGTAGTGAAATAATCCGAATATGGGTGACGCGGCAGTCAATCAGAAACGCCGCGCCGTTTCCACGGGAGATGTTGGTTGGCCGAGGAGAGCTCTCCACGATCTACAATCGAGAGGGAGGGGAGGGCAGAAATACGCGAATCGCTTTCTAAACACCGGGACAACGAGATCGCGTATCGAGATCCCCTTCGACCGAATCTGCAACTCATCCTCCCTCCCTCCCTCCCTCCTCGATCGATCAAATGCGCGCGGATAATTTCGAGTTAATTAATTAAAACTGGAGCTCGAGGAATGTGGCGCTCTCTGGGATCCCGCTTATCTTTACAGCCTGTTTGCCCCGGCGAGAGGGAAACCGAGGGAGTCGCGGTGAAAACGGCATGGAGAAGAGGAGGAGAAGTGGGGAAGGGGAGGGGAGAGGGAACAAACCTGCCGCGTCTCTGGCACCTGGCCACCACCTGCGCGCGCGTCACCTGGACCCGCCACGCGCGGAAAACCGCCCCTGGATACCGATAATCGATACACCGGTGTAATTAAATAATTCCGACGAGTGCCAACAGCACTCTCGCGTCGGTCCATCCTCGATTTTAATTCGAGCCTTCTCATGGGGAGGTGGGGAGAGAGGATTCTCCCGTTAAAGGTCTGAAGAATGGCGGGCAGATCGAAGAATATTTGGGGAGAGGACTCTTTGAACAGTCATAATCGGAGGGAATCTATTCATATAAATTAAATCGAGGCTGGTTAGAGGCTCGAAAAGTAAGTAGTGTTCGGATCGAAGAATATATTCCACGATAACGGAGAGAGATTTTTCTTTTTTTTTTTTTCAAGTCCAATAATAACGATAAAATAAGACTCGTAACGAAACAATCATTCTGTGTAATCACAGATTCAGAAGCCAACTCCGGAACGATCTCTGGATCTGCAGATAGCGATTCTCAAAAAAGTGGAATCGAAAATGTTATAATAATAACATTGGATCTGACGCGAGATCTGTAAGTCGGCAACGAAACTCGTGATGAAAAAAAAAAGGAAGCGGGTATAGAATGGAAGGAGGAGAGAGGGAGAAAAAAATTGGAACGTCGAACGGCACGGGGGAGGAGGGGGATGTCTACATAGATTTTCTGGCTTGCACGAATTCCGCGAAGCGTTTCCGCGACCGTAATTACGGTAACGAGAGGCCCTAATTAGCCTAATGAAATCCGCTAATGAAATACAATTCGTGGCTGGAAGGCTCGAAACGTGTACGTATGGATCGAACGAGTAGGCGAGCCGATGATAGCGACACGAGCCGCGTGTAGCAATTCGCGAAAACTCGGGCCGACATTTTGTAGCGCGTTTCTCCGGGCGCATTGTGTCCCGAACACCGATCCTCTTACTCGGTGACCATGTAATGAACGGATCGCGGAAGCGTGGCGGAATATTTCACGCGGAGTATTTCAAATTCGAGTGATTCCCCCCCCCCCCCTCCTCCCCCTTCAGCAGCTTCAACTACCGCTTCCACACGGGATAACAAATCGGGACGCGCCATTATCAAAGCGTCTTTCGTTCCGTATCGTTTGGGACAATGATCGATTCGTAAGCACCCGACCGTGCTTACCCTTTTACCGTCCTTCTTCAACCAGATGATTAGAAATTATCCGATCCGTTAGATGTCTCCTCCGTCTCTTTTGGAAGAATCATCTGGTTAAACAGATCGAAGCATCGAACGATAAATCATCGTTGATCATCCAAAGATCTCGTTACGCGATGATAGATCGTTCGTCGTGCTTGAAAAAAGGGACACCCGGTATTCTATTATCGTTTAGCCCGATCACAATTGGCCCGTCACGGAACCGTGCTCGCTCGAGAGTGCAAATATTCTACGCGTTAAATACGACCGATTTCAGTCGGCAACCCTCTCCCCCTCCTTCTCCGTCGATATTGCAGCATCGACAATAATCCTATCCTCCGGCGCGTCCAACATCACCAGGCCATTCCACTTTCCGCGTTGCCCTATTGTTCCATCGAGCGCATTCGCTATTAATAGCAAAACCAATTGAAGCATCGTGAAAGTAACGGAGCCGCTCAATGGAATCCGAGTGGCTCGACACTCGGAACCAGAAACCGAGGAAACTGGGCCAGAAACGCTTTGTTACCCCGGCTGCAACCGCTGTGAATTGCCGGTTAAACGGTTCCGATCGTTAAGATTAAAAGAGATGGAGACGCGCGAAAAAGAAATGAAGAGAGAGAGAGAGAAAGAGAGAGAGAGAGAGAGAGAGAGAGAGAGAGAGAGAAAGAGAGAGAGAGAGAGAGAGAGAGAGAAACGAAGATAGCCGATAATTTGGTCATTTAGATATTTATCGTTCGACGCGACACCGTGTATCCTTGGTCGATTATCCTACGCTCGAAAACTTTCTCCGATCGCGAATGCCTTCATCCATCCAGTCGCGAGGAATCGCGTTCTAGGCTATTGACCCGTTCGGAATTACCTTTCTAGATCACGCGAACTCTGGCACAACGTCTGGAACGACGACTAAATGGAGCTCCAACGAACGAAGGATACGCTGAAAAGAGAAATTTTGACTGCAAGACCACTGAATAATTCCAGAGAGCAGGGAAGGGAAAAAAATTTGTTTGTTCGATATTCGAGTTCGCCAGGAAAAATTGGAAATCGAATTCGTGACAAAATCGCGTGGAAAAGTGTCGGTCGACCGTGAAACGAATTCGTTTTCTCGAACTGAAAAACCGAGACGACGATGAGAGGTTGGATTTATCCCGGCACCGCTTGATTCGAGGCGTTATTCGGCGAGTGGCACGGCAGCGCATGAACATTGTTACATTGTTTTACGAGCGACCATAAAAGCCGAGTCTCGGACGAGAAAGGACGATGAAGAAGAAGAAGAAGAAGGTGGCGAAACCGCGATGGTTTTTCATCACACGGCTTCGTTCCTTCCTTTTTTTCTCCTGCTTTCCTAAATCGAACCTGACGACGCTACGCCAAGGTTAAAAACCTTCCTATCCGCGAACCAGTTCCGACCCGGAGAAAACTTGTGCGCCCGGAGATGAATGTTCGAATCTGCTGCTCGATGACACGCGCCAATTCCATGCTCTATTTTGCCTCCAGCCTCCAGCTACGCGAACCGGTCGCGCCGCGCCGACGGCTCTTCCTTTTCCAACCACCATCTTCCGCGTTCGCCTGTCCCTGCCTCGATTTCGTAACTCGCATCTCACTCTCTCGTCGCATTCGCAGTAGATGCTTTCGTTCCGTCTACGTTCGAATAGGATTCGAATCGTGGGCGTATTCGTGCACCGCGATTCACAAACTGGATGTTTTCGTGAAATTTCGATGAAATTTTTATAGCCACTCGTTTCATAGCCGACGAAAATGCGGATGAATTTACGATAAAGTACAAAGAGTTATTCGATCGTTCACGAGTGTAAAATAACTCGGCGACATCGAGTTCGGGCGATTAATAAAATACACGTTACACGAAATACAATCCGGATAAAGTATCCATGTGTATCCTTCGCATTCGCGGAACGGACGAGATGTAAAAATAACTTTGGGCGATCGAAATAAATTGAAAACGAATATCGAGCATCGTTCCTTAGGGTATCCATTCTTATAATTGCAATTCACGAAAGAACTCCCAAAGGTAATAATCTACCTTTAGGAAACGAATTTTTATATTTTGGAGGCCGCTCGTTGCGATACGCTCGTTTCTAAGAAACAATATAGATAAGAGGTGGCAATTATGCTCACACATATACTGCCAACAGCGTACATTTATAGGCAGAATTCGATGTATTGTAACAAACATTTCTTAAATTCTTTAAACGTAAGCTAAAGTTTTATATTCTTCCCCTCGTTCCATCTCGAAATTTCAACGGTCGTACCGCCATTTAGTTTCGTCACGCGTCACGATTTTCATTTCTTTCAACGAGTTTCTTTCGAACGGTTAAATAATTTTATGCTCGCAGACGTGAAAAATTGACCGATCTCGAGCGAAACTCGCGCTCTTAGGCTATCGCAGAGACTTCGATCCGAATCTTCGAAAATTTACGCCTAGCAACAAAAGTTTTCCAGCACGTAAAACGAAGCGAAACCCTCGCAAACACCTACACGCGCGCCACGATCATTAGCGGCATTCCGGAACGAAGTCCGAGGCGGCATTTGTCGCCTCCGGACTCGAAACTCGGCGGCGACCTCCACTACCTGTGCCCGTGGCTCGGACAACGATTCATTTTTCAATGGGCACCCCTTTTGATCCTTCTCCTCCGCATTGTCTCTATTGTCTCTGTCCGCAAACATTTGAACGACCGAAATGACTAGCACGCAGGTAACGTTGATCTGTCGTAAAATTTTATCCTTCCTTTTAACGACTAATTTTACTTTTCCATTCGTTTAACATTTCTCTTCGAAGATTCTTTTCAAGAATCTTTGGATAAAGGCATTAAATGGACCAATCGAGTCACGTGATTCAGGTCAGGTAATAGAGTTTAAAGCGCAAGGCAAGAAGGAGGAAGAAAAATGGATCGTAATTTTTAAAAGTTTTGGATAGATTTATCAGGTTTTAAGGAGGTATTAAGGGAAAAGTTGTAGCGTTGTATGCATTGAATTCTGTGCGATTAATGTAATTGTCTTTGTCGTAGAAGTCGTTAAAGTGTCTAATCTATCTGGCTTCGGTGTGCATAAAAATGTCCCGTATTAATCCCTCAAATAGGCCATTTTTAAATTCGAAACCAATTCATCACAGAATTGTTCCTCTACTTCTATTAAACGGTATTATCCTTAATAATGGCAATTGCACGCCAATATCTTGCAAATCGCTTTTTTTCTTTTCCCTCTCTTGTATTTGACATCCTAGTTGACATTTGTCGAGTGTCAAACGTGTTTAATTTCTCAAGAACGAGTGATCATTGAATGATTTTTTTTGATATTAAAGACTGATGTAGCTAGATGTCATCGGTTACTCGATACTCGACGATTACACAATGAAGATTGTGTTGTATAACTACTCTGGATAGCATTCGATATATTAGTAACGTTACCTCTATTAAAGAAACCTAAGATCATAGTCTTTCCAATTAAATTTCCCTTTGTTCCCGCGCGCAAGTTACCTTGAAGTTAAAAATACGATTATAATCTTGCCGCAAAATAATTGTGGATAATTTCTTACTTAAATAATTGCAATAAAAAAAAAAAAAAAAAAGAAAAGAAAAAAACTCTCTGAATTCCAAGCAAGTAAACGCGATAATCAATGGTTTTGTTACAACCGTCGCCTATCCATTTCCCCCCAGACATCAGTCCCTGACATTTCAAAGCGTTTCTTTCACTCTCTTTCTCTCTGTCCGAGGCGCCTGTAGGGCACGCCTAAACCAGGTCGTATATACCGATATAACTCTTCTCTCGGTTTCCTGTCTAACGCAATAAACCGTACGCGTGTTTCTCCTCGCGTAATATCATGCTCGGGACACGCCTGCCGGAAAGAGGGAGAAATGAACGAAAAACGGAACACGTTTCCACCGACACCGGTGAATCCGTGCATGATTCCTGCCCTGCTCGCGCGATCCTATTTTAATTTATATCGAACTGAATCGCCTCCAAGGACTTTTCTTTTCGATCGCATAAACGAGAAGGATAGATAATTAACTCTACGACTTTATATATACGAATACCACCGATATATATGCGAGCGTCGCGTCGATTTGACCTCGGTCAATTATGGTAGGCGTGCCATGTTAACAGAGTATAAAATTATATGAAAATTGTATATATGAAATAACACCAATATGGAATTTCGTATTCGGCCCTCTCGACGTCAGTGGTTCTCATTCTCATTGTCGCTTTTTTTTAATTAACAAGTTTGAACGACCGTGGTACAGCAATTGGGTAAAAAAAAAAAAATAATATAAATATCGTAAGTCAACTGGAAGTTTTTCGAAAAAAAATTTTTTTTTTTTCTAAAAGAAGAAAACGAAAGAAAATTCTACTCGAAATCGGTCGAAGGCAGGATTAAACTCGAGCGCCGATCGAGGTACAGCAATTGGTAAAAAAAAAAAAATAATATAAATATCGTAAGTCAACTGGAAATTTTTCGAAAAAAAATTTTTTTTTTTTTTCTAAAAGAAGGAAACGAAAAAAAATTCTACTCGAAATCGGTCGAGCGCCGATCGAGGAACAGCAATTGGTAAAAAAAAAAAAATAATATAAATATCGTAAGTCAACTGGAAGTTTTTCGAAAAAAAATTTTTTTTTTTTTCTAAAAGAAGGAAACGAAAAGAAATTCTACGATAGCGTGACTCGAAATCGGTCGAAGGCAGGATTAAACTCGGGCGCGTTTCCTGCCTGTTGCAGCAGTCAACATCGGTTAATGCGTGATGTATATCGGGTTGTATATCGTGGCCTCCGTGAAAAACAAGGGAGGGAGGAGGGAAGAAGGTGCTAATGCGGGGAATTGTGCAATTCATTGTTCGAACGCGAACTCCAAACGAGATGGGAATCTAATTTCTGCTTAACCGCAAAGACGAGCGTCGTTTAATCCGTTCGCAATTGAGTCTAATTGTAAAGTGGCGTTACGTGTCCCCGCGAGAGAAGGAAGCGCGTGCTGAATTGAAGAGAATGTAATGCGGTTCCGGAAGGTCTTTCGTTTTTTTTTTTTTTTTTTTTTTT